CATCTCTATCTTCTAAATCCCTCTATAAAACCACAGCCTCAACTCAGACATCTCACACCATATCTTCTCTATCCTTTCATTTCTCAAATTTTAGAAAACACATTCTACTCTCAATGTCTTGCACGATGAGGTTGTTGGAGAGGCAAGAGCGAGAAATTGAAGAAAGAAGGCGCAAACGAGCTGAAGAAGAAAGGAAGGAGGAAGAAGATGATGATCAAGTTACCATGGCAGTGGGCATGCTCCATCAATCAAGTCAAGGCCACCGTGGTTCACAAGTCAGCCGTGGCCCGAACGTTGATAGATGTAGGCATTCTCGGGATAAGAATATCTTAGAAGATTACTTTATCCCAAATTCGTTGTACTATAGTTTTGATTTTCGAGGTCAATATAGAATGCAACCCCATTTGTTCAATAAAATCATGCATGATGTTTGCAATTACTATGCATACTTCGTTCAGAAGTATGATGCTACTAGGGTTTTGGGGTTTCTTCTGAAGCAAAAACTTACAGCTTCTTTATGAATGCTGGCGTTTGGCGCATCTGCAAACAAGGTGGATGAGATTGCTAGGATGGGGAAATCCACTATCCTAAAGAGCTTGGTCAGATTCTGTGATGCAATCGAAACTCTCTACTCCATTTCTCTTGCAAATGCTTCATCTCTTGCCTTCTCATCCGCATCTCCTTTCATGTCTCTCTCAATTCTCATTGTGTTGTTAAGAGCTTGGTCAAATTCTGTGATGCAATCGAAACCCTCTACTCCATTTCTCTTGGAAACTAAATATGAAGTGCTAATATCTACCGCGTGGAAGAGTTGTTGAAAAATAGGGGTTTCTTGAACAAGTTGACCCATGCTAATGTCGGGTGCAAGGAAATTAATTAGTATCCTTATAAAACTATGAAACCTTGCATGACATGCCACTGCTTTGGTGTTTTGTTTTACAGCTTCAACAAAGCGAAGCGAAAAGTTAACTTCAACAGAGATGTGCCCCTCTCAAAGAAAATTTGAGGCTATACTGTATTATTAATACAATAATATTTTTCTTAACCAAATTTTAAAGTCCCTTTTCTTTCTTTCTTTGTATTCAAATCTCCTGAAGATGATCTGCACCATGAGCTCTATCGCTTGTTTAAGCTTAGTAGCATCCCTCACTGTCTTATCGCTGAAAACGAAATAAACTTGAAACAATAAAAAACACAGGCCCTCACAGCACTGAACTCGGATGAACCTAAGTTTTATTTTCCCTAATGAGGCAACCATTCTCACGTGCCTTTCGTAGTATGTATTTGTAATAAAGTACATTTCATTTGATTGTTAGCTAGGACAATGAGTAGATATAGTTCATGTAATATGTAAAATAATGGAGTATAGAAATTAAAATTAGATTTTGCTTAAAGTAAAAAATTTGTTTAATTATCATCTACGAAAAAGTATATTTCAATATATGAAGTGCCCTGGATGTGAAAATTTTCTGGTTCTGCCAGCCAATAATGACGATTTGTGCTTGCATTTGCACGTCATAGAAGCGGATATAGGAGCCATAGTTTGACAGAGATAGGAGCTAAAATGGCTTTGAATTTGGGATTCGTGATTGGCATCCTTGGACTTGGAGTTATAATTCTCTCTCATGCAACTTATTCAACCGTTCAATGTAAACTCTAGATAATATATACGTATATGTGTTAAACATTAACATAGACGTCGTAATGCTTTTTGGTAGTGGTAAACCGCCCATGTCCTCCACCACTTATACCTCTCTCTTTCTGTATGTGGTTCCAAAGAAAAATATTTCAAAGACTTTCATTGATAATTCTATAAAAAACACATGTGGATTTAAACAAAAGCTCAAAATTGCACAGCGATTTAGAATCTTTCCATCCCAAGTTATGAACAGAAAATACTTGATTTCCAAGCTTTGAGAAAAACTAACTACGACCATGAAACTTTCGCAACCACTATCCGAGTAGGACGAATTGTGAAAGTGGTTCTTCAATATTAACTTACAAAAGCATGAAATTGGGTGTTGGCAATTCACGATCCAAAATCTAATTGCATAAAATCTATGACTGCAAATAAGAGATAGAGAGATGAAGAGAAGTGAGAGAAAGAGGAAGGGTGTGGTAGTGGTGGGGAGGAAGGTCTCGGTTGGGAAATTGAGTTAACGTCAGTGTAACTCTCAGTTTTTGAAAATAAAAATAAAAATTTCTTAACTCAAAGCTTGATGATGTGTCATTTATTTGAGGGTTAGATTATTAGAATGATCTAGATTTAACGAAATACGGGTAAATGCAAGGCCTCTAAATGCAGAGGCTCGGGATCCCCTTCTGAGATTGGTTGCGGACAGGAGAATGTAAAAGATTTTGGAGGAAGAGTTTTTCAGGACCTCCATTGAATGTAAGATTTAACAAAAACAAATTCTATACATGGGTATTGTTTTGTTTAGGTGTTTATGTGCTTAAAAGGGTAATTGGGGGAATGCAGGTGGTGGTTGGATTGCTTTTAGGGTTAGTGTTCTGTATGTGGGCAGCTCTTACTGTCCTCGACACGTTTCTTTCAATACATCCCCATTCTGAAGAGAATAGGTATGCATTTTGTCTCCTCAATGTCTGATTTGTTTTGTTCATGGTGTGATTGGATTCCTTTTTAATCCCTTTCAATTGAAAGTTGGAACAAATAATTTTAGTTATGCTAATGCGCACTTGAGCTTACAGTACCTGTTACAATCAAGTGATAATTTTAGAGTTAGGAGCACTTGAGCCAACTTTGTTTTCAAGTGATACGCCATTTGAAGAGAATTCTCATCAATGACCAAACAATGGAAAGATAAAGAGTTTCATTCTTTTCTTTCTCTATTACTGGATACTAAACGTAGGTTAAGAGCTAATTGTATATCTCCTTGTAGTGGGAGTTGTTGACCCATCTATGTCTCTGTCTAGGTCTCTCTCACGACACTCATCACCGAATCGACATCGAGCCCCTACCTCGCTCGCCACCACAACCAGTTTGGCTTCCCCATCCCATCCACAACGTATTTGCTTCCAAACATGAATATCAGAAACCCCCTCTAAAATCCTCTCTACTTTCTATGTTGAACAAACAAAAAAAGTTTATTTTTTTCCAACCCAATTGAGGCTTTTTAGTATTTGTTTCGTTTAATTAGGAATGACAAAGCAGTGGGGCGAAGTTGGATTTTCCCTCCCCGCCACTGTTTTTATAAGAATTCTCGCCATCATGATCATGCATTGCTTGCTTGAGGAAGACATGCCATGCCGCATGTGTACTTTGTTTTTTCTTTTGCACCAGCTGCATAGCTGGCTAAGGTTTTATCGATCATTTGGTGCACGTTTTAGGCAGACAATATCATGGCCTGCTTTCCAAAAGGAGAATCTAAATCGTTGGAGTTGGGCCCTACCCAGGCCCGGACCCATGTTTAGTTTGACCAAATTAATATCAATAACCAGCCAGCAATAATAATACTAGGGTCCTTTATCAAAAAAATAATAAAAAATAAAAATTAGGGTCACGGAATGCTTGAGAATATGATACTTAGGTTGTTACATAATTAAATCGTGGGTCCCTCTCTCTTCGTGCTTCAATTCTTATCATGGCAGGTACATGAGTCCAAGCTCTTCCTTTTGACTTGCAGAAGTATTGTTATGCGTGTCCCAGTCAATTTGCTCTTGGGCAAGCAAGCTGCACTATGAAATGAACCTATCAAATTAGTCCTTATGTTTTCTTATTATAAAAAATAAACTTCATTATATAAACTTTAACAGTATAATCAAATATATCAACATGACATTTAAATTACCAATCCTAGGATGGAAACAAAACTAAAACAGACAAAGGTCGCACTAAAATTACTAGCCCACAACACTACAATTAACCATAAGCCTAAACAAAGCCTACATACCCAACATAACAGAAACCTTGAAAGAACCTATGAACCTAAATGAACCCTACCACCACCACATGAAAAAGCATCGTCACAGCCACACCAGGGACGAATCCATGTTATAGCCCATACAAATTTTTTTCAATTTAAAAAAAAAAAGTGATGTAGTACTTACACACAACTAAAAATAATAATAATAAATAAACTGATAATATCGATACTGAATGAATCATTAATGATTTTAATTCTTTAAAGACTCGAATGGTGCAACATAAATAGTTTTATTATGTATTTACATTGCATGTTTATTTATTATTTTCTTTTTTTAACAAGCTTCTATCTTATGTATTAGATACATTTTTAGGGGTATATTATGTCATCCGTAACTAGGTATATCTTTTTTTTTGTTATCAATAAATTTCGCTTGAGTCGTTGAGTTTCTTTTGTAAGGTAAATCTAGTCTAATCCATTTTAAAATCTTGAATCCGTCCCTAAGCCACATCAACCACCACATCCTTAATAGATATCGGGAAAATATAGTTTTCAGCGATCTACCTACTTATAAGAGCAAATAAATAAACGAAAACAACTATCTTGACAAAGAACAATTGATTGATTTGCAACAACCTCCGTCGAAGACGATGTAGACTCAAATTTAGAGAACATGAGCAGTAATAGAGAACGGGTTTTGGAAGAAGGATTTGTTTGAGAGTGCCTAAAATGGGTGATGAGGAACTTCAATATGAGCACGCTCATAAGAAATCACCACAAATGACTTATTATTCCAAACATTCTAGTGGACTTATTCATTAAACCAAAAGAAAAAGGCGAGAGAGAGAGGAGGGAAGGAGGGACAAAGATGCTTCTTCGTCTTCCCCTCTCTATGGAATTTTTCTTTGTGACTCAAAGAAGAAGAGAATGGCTAGAATTTATATATCAAATTAGTCCTTAAATTGGTCAACAAAGAGTGCTTGAGAAAATAAGCATTATATTACCAGAATCACGCTTATCCCCATAATCCCAATAAAAACACCCATCTAATAAGCCTTTGAGTGAACTTTAATACATCTTTAACTTTAAAAAGCTCTCTTTATCTTTCAAGCAACCGAATCCCAAAATAAGGGAAAACCCAGAAAAGAAGAAGAAAGATTAGCAAGCACACGAACCAACAAATTGCAATTCAATGCAATGCAAAGATAGTGAAACACGAACAAAACTCTGCAAAAATGAAAAGAAAAATCCAAAAGTAACATATGACAATTCCAAATTTAATGTTAACAAAACAAAACCCCTTCGTTCAAATGCTTTGAGGCCCCTCCCCATTTTTTCGACTTTACCCATTTGCTGTATGCTCCTCCTCTCGTCTCCTCATCCAAAGCTCCTCCTCTCCTCTCCACCCAATAAATTTGCCTTTGTTTTCTTCCAATGTCCTTTACGTGATTCCTGCAATTATGCTTACTTTTCTCCGCTCTTAAATAAATCAACAGTCCTCAAATCTCACACTTCACCTCCCCACCTCACACTCTCTTTCAGACCTCAACGCCCAAAATGGGTTTCCTCTCCTACATTTTCCTTCTCCTTGCTTTCTTTTGCTCTACTTTCCAACTAGCTCACTCTCGAAGCTCACCGCTTAGCTCCAAAACGACAGTGCTCGACGTCGCTGCTTCAATTCAGACGACCTTAAACGCCCTGTCGTCGGAGTCTCACACGCAGGCATTGAGCCAACAAGACCGGAGCTCCTCAGCTGCTTCTTCACTTTCTCTGCCGCTACATTCTCGAATTTCACTTCACAAGCCTTCCCACAGTGACTACAAGTCGCTCACTTTGGCTCGACTCGAGCGTGACTCATCCCGAGTCAGATCTCTCACAACCCGGTTAGATCTGGCTCTTCAAGGCATTGCCACGTCGGATCTTAAAACCGTGGATACGGGCAACGGGTTGGAGCTTGAGGAAGCCAAGGGTTTTGAGGGTCCCGTCATTTCCGGGACAAGTCAGGGAAGCGGCGAGTACTTCTCCCGAGTCGGAATCGGCAATCCGCCGAGTCCGGCCTACGTGGTGCTCGACACGGGCAGTGACGGCAGCTGGGTGCAGTGCGCACCCTGCGCCGACTGCTATCAGCAAGCCGACCCCATCTTCGAGCCGACTTCCTCGGATTCCTTCTCGCCTCTCTCGTGCGAAAACCAACGGTGCAAGTCCCTCGACGTGTTCGAGTGCCGCAACGACACGTGTCTATACGAGGTGGCCTACGGCGACGGCTCGTACACCGTCGGCGACTTCGTCACGGAGACCATCAGCATCGGCGGGGTTTCGGCGAAGGACATAGCCATCGGCTGTGGCCACACCAACGAGGGCTTGTTCATAGGCGCGTCTGGGCTCCTAGGGCTCGGCGGCGGCTCGTTGTCGTTTCCTTCCCAGCTCAATGCCACGTCATTTTCCTACTGCCTCGTGGACCGTGACTCTGACTCTGCTTCAACTCTTGAGTTTAACTCGCCGCTCCATCCCAACGCCGTGACGGCTCCGTTACGCCGTAACCCTGAGCTCGACACGTTTTACTATATCGGCCTAACCGGACTGAGCGTAGGCGGCGAGTTGCTACCGATTCCCGAGTCCGCTTTTCAGATAGACGACAGTGGAAACGGCGGAATCATCATCGACTCGGGCACGGCGGTGACTCGGTTGCAGACGGACACTTACAACGCACTCCGTGATGCGTTCGTGAAAGGCACCAAGGATTTGACGTCCACCCAAGGCGCGGCGCTGTTCGACGTGTGTTACGACTTGTCGTCGAAGAAGAGCGTTGAGGTGCCAACGGTGTCGTTTCACTTCGCGGAGGGGAAAGTGTTACCATTACCGGCTAAAAATTACCTGATACCGATTGACTCGGAGGGGACGTTTTGCTTTGCGTTCGCGCCCACGCCCTCCTCGCTGTCAATCATTGGGAATGTCCAACAGCAAGGGACACGTGTCGGTTTCGACATCGATAATTCGGTGGTTGGGTTCTTCCCCAACCAATGCTAGACATATAAATTAGGCGTTATGTTTTCGACCATTTTCTTTTTCTTTTTAATTATAGTTTTTAGGAACCTGCCTCCCTGTTCAGTTGTTGTATGTCCATGTTACCAAATCTACATCTTCTTCTTTTTTATTATTTATTTTTTTTAATTTGCGGTGTTGTTTTATTAACTTATAATTAGAGGTTAGTTGCATAGTACTGCCGTTGATACAGTAGATTAATTAAATCGAAGTGTGAAGCTTCAGCTTAATTTTGTTTGGTCGCCGGAGATGTTGTACTCATTTTTGGCATTACGGTTATTATGTATTTTTTTTCTGTGTTATCAATAAAATTGCTATTGCTTTTAATCTCTAAAATAAAATAAAAATTTGGGCAGAAGCTGCAGATACAACGGTTACGTCATGTCGTTGAGAGAGTAAACTACTCTTGGAATTTGGAGGTTCGCCAATCTTACGGTTCATATAATAATAATACGTCAGAAAATGGTTTTGGGACTTTACCCTTGGCATAAAGAGGCCCGGGTACAAGGTATTCCAAAGTCAATGGTCCGTCAAAACTTGTTTAGGTAATCTTTGACTTGAACCGTTCCAAGTTGACTGTCATAAAAAATTTAAAAATATGAAATCATAAATCCGACTATCATCCTTATATATATATCCTTTTCCTCGACTTCTGGGAAGATAATTGGTCATCAAATAAGATAAGAAAATGATAACTTGAATGTAAAGAAAAGTACAAGTTAAGTAGCTCAATTAATTAAAGGCTTTTTATCACAAATGGTCCTTCACGTTTATGAAATTATCACGAATGGTCCTTTAGGTTTTTTTGTGACACTAATAGTCCTTAACGTTTGGGCTTTTTATCACAAATGGTCCCTGCCGTTATAAATTCTGTTAAGTGTGACGTAGAAGATAAGTGGAGCCCACATGTCCAATAACATTGTGACATGTGGATAAGAAATAATTAAATAATTTTTTAGCAAAAATTCCAATTTTTTTTTATGCAACTTTTCATCCCTTTCCTTACTCCGTCTCTCTCCCCCTCTGCCCTCGATCTCCACCCTTTGCTCTCCATCTCTTCTACCTGTCCTCTCCTTCTCCCTCTGTTTTTTTCTTTCCCACTGCCACCTCAAGGTCCCTCAATGTAAACTAGTGGCCCCAACCCAAGTGAGAGAATTCAGTCAGGCCAACTAGAGGAGACGGGGCAGTTATTGGATACGATGAAGAAGCCTTATACACTATAACAGTGCTGGAACTCCCTTCTTCTCCAGATTGGTACAGGCCACCATCGTTTTCTAATCGATTAAATGAACCTGACTGACTGCTATTCTCTCCATTTTCCGATTTTCCCGTACCCAAATGGAGTATGATCTTGTCTGATTCTTTGTCACTGGATTTGTCGTGAATGGTGAGAAGAATTCCATCACGAGGAGCAAATTCACTTGCAGATATTTGCTGCACTCAAACTTCCTTAATTTCTTTTGAGACGGTTGGGATTTGACTAAGGGGAATCTTGTCCCTAGCTTTCCTTAATTTCTTACGTGAAGTAAGGCACATTGATAACACAGAGAGGATAATTATGATAAATAATGCAACAGCTATTCCAATTACTTCCCAGACCTTTAGATTAAAGAAAGCTTCCTTGGATAACTCTGCTTTCAGATCGGAGGCCATTCTATCAGATACCAAAAACCCTACACATAGCAAAATCTCACATTAAGATTGCTTCTGATTCATCATTTATATCACTATCAAAATCTTTTCTTTCAAATCCATTTGCATCAACTAGAGATGAATAAATTACAACCTGGTACTTTTTTACCAATTCCCCACAAAAATGAAAACTTGAAATAAATAAAAAATTATTTAATTATTTTTTATCCACATGTCACAATGTGATTGGACATGTGGGCTCCACTTATCTTCCACGTCACACTTAACAGAATTTATAACGGCATGGACCATTTATGATAAAAATCCAAAACGTTAAGGACTATTAGTGTCACAAAAAAACCTAAAGGACCATTCGTGATAATTTCGTAAACGTGAAGGACCATTTGTGATAAAAAGCCTTAATTAAAAGTATTTATTTTTGTACTCGATGTCCCATCTAGAAAACATATAGCGGAGCTTTTGCCCATTTTGATTATGGTTCCATAAGCTATTTGGCTAGTGGCACAACCAAACTTGCAATTCCTACTATGTCTACTATATGCTTAATTTCTTCGTTGCATACCAGCAAATTCTCATAAAATTAAAATAAAGGCCCACTATGTTACCAATGAACACGTCCGAAAGCTTCTAGATTAATGCCACAGTAGATTAGCAGGACCGGTCTCCTCCCTGACCCACACTCACAAAAAACACCCGCACAAATCACAGAATGGCAAATCAGGACATTGGCATCTTCTCCTCTGCACTGGTCAAAGTCAGACCAAATCCAAAAATATTCATTCTTTTTCACTCTTAGCCGTTGAGCTTTAGTTTCTTCCCCCTCCATTTCTCAGCGCTTACCAAATTTCCATTCTTTAATATTTATTCCTTTTTAAGTTAATCCAAACCAAACCCTAAAAACTATTAAACCCTTTATTGACCTCACGGTCTCTTTCCACAATACCCTCAAATTCATTCTTTCTAACAATGCGTGTCGTTCTCTCCCTCTCACCATGAACATCTCCCAGAGCTCCTATTCTTCCTCGTCCTCCTCCGTCAATTCGGCCTCCGTCGCCACCGCCGATCCGGTAATTACATCACTCCTTGTATTATGTACTTCACTTTCATTTCATTCACTATGCAAGACTTGAACCTTATTCGTTCAGTTTTGAATAACTTGGAATCCATTACAGCGTGCAAAGACTAAAGCTTTTTACTCAATTTCGTTTTACTCTCACACTTTGGCTATTTTCAGTACAATTTACGACCCAGTGAATAGTATTTCAATCTTGTAATTGATCATCTTTTTGAAATGTAATTATTGATCATTGGCCGGAGTTGGATCACTCCTTTTATTATACCTAAGTTAATTTCAGTTTCAATTTATATATTATGTCTCAAAAGTTCTTAATGGCTTCACTCCTTTTATTATACCTAAGTTCTATTAGTTTAGTTGAATTTGATGGCTTCACTCCAATTCATGTTCAAAGCTTCTGAATTTGATTGCTATTGTATGATCTCTTTTGATTATAGAATGTGATCTCAAGTCGGAGGAGTGCAGACAGTAGTCAAACCCTGGCTTCTGAGCCTTCGCGTCGTTGGCGTGATATTTTCTGGTTGGGAGTATTTCTAATTCAATTGGTTTTAATGGGATGTGCACTTACGGTTCTCGGGCTCAATAGGTTTAAGAAAACAGATAGGCTAAACATAGATAGGTACACCCAGCGTTTTTTGGAAAATCAAAGGGGATTGACGGAGAACTATTGGCCTCTTTATGCTCTTGCCGGTGGAGTTGGGACTGTTCTTGGTTGGACTTGGTTGTTGTTCCTCAGTTCTCAAGCGAATCACATGATGAAGGTTGCGGTTCACATCTTGACTACTTATCTTGCTGTGATTAGCGTTCTATTATTTTGGATGGAACAGTTTTTCTGGGGCGTTGCATTTGCGATTGGTGCTGTGTTGCAGTTCTTGTATGTTATTTCAGTAATTGACAGGTATGAGGGTGAGATTTCTCTTGTTCATTTGGTTAGACTGTTACAGTGGAACTGTGCCTGAAATTTTGTTTTTAAAATTTGAAAATGATTTCTTTTAACTTAAGTGAAGAAAGGGAAAAGAGGATGTATGATATACGTTTTTGTTCAGTAATGGGAATCTGCATACTACAAAGTATTTTGGGCTGCTATTGGCGCAGATGCATATGAAACTTGGTAGGGGATAAACTGAAATTTTATATTCGTTAATCTATGTATGTATTTAATTATACACATTGTGGTATTTCTACCATGATGCTAGATTGCAGGGTTGACACGCCTATCTTTATAAATGAAGGCATGAGGTTGGGGTTCCTTTCGGAATCTTATATCATCTGCCTTGTGGGTCGTCCCAAGTAGTTGGGTTTTGAAGGAATTTTTTCCAGTTGTATTGTTTTTAGGCATGGTTGACTTTGTCTTCACGATTGACTTTAATTGTTCTCTATTCTATCCTCCTCCTCTCTCTCTGTCCCTGTCTATGCTTGCCCTATTATATAACCGGTCCCATCTCTCTTCAAATCTAACCTGGTAGTTTCCAATCATAGAGCGTCTTTGTTTCTGTCTTTGTCTCTCGCCGTCTTTCTCTCTACACACACACACACACATGTCCCTCACTCACTCTACGCACAAAGACAAACAAAATCTATAGATAAATTAGAATTGGAATAATCAGATCCAATGGCAGTCTTTCTGACTCTATTGTTAATCAATAGACTTCCATTTACCATGCTGGTGCTACAAGCAGCTGTCAAGATGGTATGGAGTCTACGTGAAGTTATGAGAGTAGCATATGCATTCATGCTTATTATGCTTCTATGGATGGGAATATGGTCCTTTGGGGCAGCTGGTGTTGTTGCTTCAAGCATTGGAGATGGTGGACGCTGGTGGCTTCTTGTGGTGAGCTGGCAAGTTTTGCTCTTCTTTCATCTGTTGTTATTGGGATATGAAATGCAGTAAAACTTTACAACATGCCTCAACTAATGACACTAATAATGCTGTCGCACATGTACTTAGGTTCTCTCTATAAGCTTATTTTGGACGGGTGCTGTACTCTGTAATACTGTACATGTTATAGTTTCTGGGATGGTGTTTCTTGTACTTATCCATGGTGGTAGAGAGGCATCATCAATGCCTCCGAACTCACTGATGAAGTCTCTTCGGTATGCAGTCACAACTTCTTTTGGCAGCATCTGCTATGGTTCACTTTTCACAGCTGCCATTCGGACGCTTCGGTGGAAGGTACACATGCCTGTGTTTTATTTTCTAAGGGACGGTTCATTAATATCTCTGTTTAGTTTGACTGTGAGTAATTTAATTCTTAGAGTTCTGAAATATATTTCAGATCAGGGGACTCCGATCCAAGATTGGCAACAATGAGTGTCTACTTTGCTGTGTTGATTTCCTCTTTCATCTAGTGGAGACTCTTGTCCGTTTCTTTAACAAGTATGCCTATGTCCAGGTAGTTTTGGAGTGTTCCGTTAACAACCACTATCATTTTTACTTTGCATATAATTGCTTATGGATTAAAGCAACATGTTTCTGTCCAAAAAAATCTGCTGCACTGCACCTAGAGCAAGGCTGCTTAGATACCTCATAACC